GCTCAACGAAATAAGAGAGGATACAAACAGATGGAGAAATATTCCATGTTCATGGTTAGGAAGAACCAATATCGTGAAAATGGCCATACTGCCCAAAGTAATTTAGAGATTCACGCTATCCCCATCAAGCTACCAATGACCTTTTTCACAGAACTGGAAAAAACACCTTAAACTTCATATGGAACCAAAAGAGAGCCCACATAGCCAAGTCAATCCTAAGCAAAAAGAACAATGCAAGAGGCATCACACTACTGGACTTCAAACTATACTATGAGGTTACAGTAATCAAAACTGCAATTATTTTATATTTATAACTTTCTGTCTTTCGGGGAACAGCTTTCACTCAAGGATAACTGTATAGTTTGAAGTTGCAGCACAGATTATAACAGGAAAGAAACCTGCTAAAATGTTATCTACCTCTCTTCATCTCCTTCCACTTTTAAATGTCTCCCATGGATCTCTCACTGATCTGAGCATAAATGTGAATGAAAGTATACTTGACTATGTATTGAATTTGCTTTATTAAAGTTTGGTATTTTAGTTTTAATGTGGCTCAGAGGAATGGCATCTTTCTTTTTAATGTGTTACAAAAACCTTACACTGATTTTTTTCTTGTATGATTAAATATTTTTATACTATTTTTTCTCCTTTTTTCTTTTTTTTTCCCACTATCAGTTTGCTTTTTTATGGGAAGAATAAATATTTTTATACTATTTTTATGTTATGTACTATAAATTTTTATGTTATTTTATTAAAACCCAGAAAGATCATTATGCTATAGCAGGACACATGATCCACATATTCAAAAAAAGCTATAATACAATAGAGTATTTCTTTTTTTATTTGAGAGGCACACCCCTAGAGAAACTGGTCTTCAAGATTCCATAAATTCTTTTTATTTAAAGACAAACTTTGAAATGATAATAATTTAGATGTACTGAGTTAAATAAAGCATTATAAACACTGAAAGTCATTAATCATTTTGCCTAATAAATGTATGTGCCATTCCATTATCACTATCACTGATAAAATGCCAAATTCAAAACCCTAACATGACTCAATGAGGTATTCACTGGCATATGTTTTGAATATTTAATTTTTAAAATGTTCTTGTCTCTCTTTGTCTAATTCTAGTTGACAGACTAATAATTCCCATTGGTAGAACTCTGCAGACTTCAGGTGGCGGTAAAACCCCAAAGCACATTCTCTATTGCCTTAATTGCATTACAAATGAATAGATTTCAGAATCTGTAATATTCTGGCGTGAGAACATATATTTAAAGACAAATTGTGAAATAATTAGCTAAACTCCCTTTTATCAGACAGAAAAGAATAGCTTAGGAGTAGCAACGGTTTCCCACCAAGGTAAATTTCTTATGGTTCTTTACATTTAAACGAAATAGAGAAAAAGAAAAATAATTGAAGCAAATTTATACCATTTGTCTTGGTTATCTGCTGCCTTAAAATTTATGAGAACAGAATTATGCTGCAGAAACAGAGTAAGGGTGAGTTCTAAATTCAGGTGTGCAGCACTTTCTACCCTGTTTCTCAAATAAACTTCCTACTGTGTTGAATGTTTAGTACTATTTTAAAGGTGCTGAAGTATTTAATTCTACTATTATTTTAAAAAGAAAAATATCAATTGATTACGGAGATTTACCACCTGGATTTCAATTTGTACATAATACAAATGACTGATTTCCTCTTTATCCTAAACCAAATGTAAAAGGGAGGAAGAGATAAGGAATCACATCTGTCAAAAAGGGTAGGCTGAATCTCAGAGACAAACTTCATTGACTTCACAAGTTTGCCAACCTCTGGTTCCCACACTCAGTTATAGTGTTTCTTCACCTGCACGGGGTCCTTACATCTAGCAATACATACTTAAGACTGAAAGAATGTAGCCAAACGAGAGAAAGAAGAAGGAGAATGATAAGAAAGAGAGCAAAGGAGGAGGAAAAGCAAGGGATTAGGAAAATAAATTGCAAGAAAAAATGGAAAAGTGACAGGAAACACAAGCTAAAAGCAAAGGTAAAGGAATAATTGTTGTAAATGAGTGTACGAAGACAGAATTATCAGGAAGAGAATGGACGAGGACGGGACATAAGAAAGAAGCAAGAGAAAGGAATGGGGAAAGAGAAGGGAGTGAGCTGCGAGGATGGTGGTCAGGTCTCTAAACACTTGACTTTAGGAGCTGATCTGAGAGCAGTTTGGAATTGAGGTACGCATAGTGTTGCCTGCAGATGCTTGCTGCTCTGTAGTCTGGAAGGAGTTGTAGGGGACAGTATGGGGACCTACTCTGCTTACGCATCTTCAGTACCAAAGGAGTTTTTTTTTTTTCCTTTTTTAAAATCTGTTGAAATAATAAGGAAGGTTAGAGATGGTGACAATCATTCAGGTTTTGTCTTGGCCTACACTGACAGTGCTTCTTTGTCCTGTGTAACTAGAACAAGAAGTCTGCCTACGTGAGATCCGTTGCTTAGCGCTTTTTTTTTTTTTTTTTTTTTTTTTTTTTCCCAGGAACTCATTTTGTACAGAGGAATGCCCTTCTGATGCATATCTGTCCTCCATCTCTGTGATGAATACAATTTGAGAATCACCAGATCAAAAGGTACATAAATGAAAACAGAAGAAAGAAGAAAAATGGATTAAAGATGTTAAGTAATATGGAATTTCACCTGTTAGCTAACAGACAATAGCGGTGAATAGGAGAAAATAAAAGCAAAGGAAGAGTGGGAGAAGCTGAAACTCTCAGGTGTTCTCTGTGTCTTGGAATCCTCAACCCGGAGAAGCATGAGATAATTAACTACAATCGAGCACCTGGAATGGACAAAAGGTAGGAGTAGGGGAGGGAGCTTCCGACTTCAGTTCTTAAGACCAGGTTTCTGTAGGCAGAGCAAGGTATGAACGTGGCAGCCAAGAGATAGGTCTAAGTGGGTAAAAAAGAAAAGGAAATGCTGAAACTAATTTGAAGAACACTAGAATACTTTTCTCCAATTTCGGATTTCTTAGATTCACTAGGTGTGTATTTACGCAAGTGTGACTATGTATTTGGAACGCACAAATATGTGTTGTCAGTACTTGTTCCATAGCATGTGTTGCTAGTTATGAATATTACTAATCACATACAACGAATATTCTGATGTATTCTAATAGCTGTGCTGTAAAATGCCAATATATCACCTATTTCATTTCCTATGAATTTTCTTTACGTATTTTAAGGCTAATTTTTCTTTATTCTTTTCCTCCCTTCTCTCTTTCTAGTTCCTCTTTCTAGTAATTTCTGTCAAATTTCAATTAGGAATTTATCTCCTCCAGTCCTCCTCCCCCACATTTTGAAGCACTGCTTCAAAAAAAAAAAAAGTTGTATTGAAATGTAATCAGCACATTATAAAATTTACCATTTACAGTGTTCAAATTCAATGGTTTTTAGGTATATTTACAGAGTTTGTGCAAGCATCAACATGTTGTAGCATGTATCAATACTTTTTTATTGTCACATTGTGTGATATTGTATCCACAGCACTTTTGAAAATAAACATTGCATATAATCAAAAGTTAAGGGTAACATTTGTAGCATTTTGTTATAATTAGCAATATTTTATCTTTGAAATCATTCATTCCAATGTGAAACATGCCTGGTATCATCACATGCATTTATCTATAATATGTTTTACAATCATCTCAACATAATAATTAAAATATAATCACAAATATATTTTGAAAAACATAGTTTATAATAATGTGGAGAAAATTCCATTATTTTTATGCACTCCAATGGATTATCTTATATATCTCCTTGGGTGAACACATCTAAGTTTGGAGATTAGTATACAGATAAATCTTCATTCTGGATTTCTCCAACATGAATAGAATACATATTTAAACAAAGCTATGGCCAGAAAGGGGGAATATTTAGACATGCAGCATTATATTTACTTAAGTGCCTAAATAAAATATTGCCAATTGATGAGACACTGAATTATTTTGTAAAAAGTGTAAACTGAGGACTAAACACCTGCTTTCTTCTATCACTTGCTAATGAGAGAAAAGAAAACTCATTGCAAGTTTAAAACTTGTCTGTGATTGCATTTTTTTTCATCTCGCAAATGAGTACCTCAGATTATATGTTCCATATGGCCAGTTCCAGCTCTACTATATTTTAATTTTATTAGCTGAGATAGTAAAAGTCTTTTACATATTCTGATAAATTTTGTATTATGAAAAAATATTTCTGAAAAAAAAATCATTCGGCTGTCTGTTTGAAATCTTAAGAAGAAGTAGGTTATGGATACACAGAGAGCAGGTGAAACTGAATTAGTATTAACTAGTACTCAGCCAAGGCTGTAACTAGGGAATTCCTCCAAGTTAAGAGAAATATACAGATCTTGCCTGCTATCCTGGTGACCAGTTTGAAGTAAGAATGTACAAGGGCACCAAAGGAGAACAATGCGATGGCAAGAATAAGAAAGAAACAAATTTAGAAAGCAGTCAGGTAACAACCAGAAGCCAAGAATTCCACGGGAACTAGAGAGAGAAGCAACTGTGAATGCACTTTATTCTGCGGCAGGAAGAAAAGGGACTAAAACCTAGCAACTAATCTAACAGAGACAGTGGACCACCACCAACAGCAACAAGAACAAAGAAGACAAACGTGATCATGCTTAAGTTTTGCTTTAATCAGACAACTTCTAATATCCTTCAAGCAAAGTAGCCTGGAATCCTATGGGAGTGCAGTTATCTAAAAGCATGGGATTAAATGGGCATAAAAATGTGGCCACAGAAAAATTTGCATTTTATTTTAGCGAGAAATAAATAGGATGAAGGATAGAAGGGTTAACTCAGGACACAAGACAGTTATGAGGCATAAGTTGTCTTCAACTAGGCAATGTTGGTTGCCACAAATAATGTTCTTAGTTAGAGAGGAGACCCAAAACAGATGAGAAGGTGGTTACATCAGATAACACTTTGGCCTATTTTATTCTGCAGAGTTAGAAAAGATGGAAACAGAGAATCTGACAGTGGTGACAGAATTCATCCTTCTTGGTCTGACCCAGTCTCGAGATATTCAACTTCTGGTCTTTGTGCTAGTCTTAATTTTCTACCTCATCATCCTCCCTGGAAATTTTCTCATCATGTTCACCATAAACTCAGACCCAGGGCTCACAGCCCCCCTCTATTTCTTTCTGGGCAACTTGGCCTTCCTGGATGCATCCTACTCCTTCATCGTGGTTCCCAGGATGCTGGTGGACTTCCTCTCTGAGAAGAAGGTCATCTCCTACAGAGGCTGCATCACTCAGCTCTTTTTCTTGCATTTTCTTGGAGCAGGAGAGATGTTCCTTCTTGTTGTGATGGCCTTTGACCGCTATATCGCCATCTGCCGGCCTTTACGCTATTCAACCACCATGAACCCTAGAGCCTGCTATGCATTGCTGTTGGCTCTGTGGCTTGGGGGCTTTACCCATTCCATTGTACAAGTAGCCCTTATCCTGCACTTGCCTTTCTGTGGCCCAAACCAGCTCGATCACTTCTTCTGTGATGTTCCGCAGGTCATCAAGCTGGCCTGCACTGATACTTTTGTGGTGGAGCTTCTGATGGTCTCCAATAGCGGCCTGCTCAGCCTCTTGTGCTTTTTAGGTCTTCTGGCCTCCTATGCAGTCATCCTCTGTCGTATAAGGGAGCACTCCTCTGAAGGGAAGAGCAAGGCTGTCTCCACATGCACCACCCATATTATCATTGTATTTCTCATGTTTGGACCTGCTATTTTCATCTACACTCGCCCCTTCCAGGCTTTCACAGCTGACAAGGTAGTTTCTCTTTTCCATACAGTCATCTTTCCTTTGATGAACCCTGTTATTTATACACTTCGCAACCAGGAAGTGAAAGCTTCCATGAGGAAGTTGTTAAGTCAACATATGGTTTGCTGAACAGAAGAATGAGAAAAGCAAGAAAGGAGAAAGTCCAGTTGAATTGAGCTAAATCGTTACCTCATTAATGCATTAAATCAGTCATTTAGCAAATATTATAATTATTAAGCGCTTCCCATTTTCAGGCACTATTCTAGGCACATGAATGAGATAGGCAAAATTCCAGGCCTCTTAGATTTACATTCAAGGGATAAATACAAGTTAAACTTTTAAATTTTAAAAACAACTATAGTGTCAGAAAGAAATAGTGCTCTGTAGCAAGCACAAAGTGGTATTATGCTACAGATTATCCGGGGAGGTGGTAATTACTTTACTTTTGGGTGACAAGTCAGGTCTCAAATGGTGTTGAGCTGATACCAAGATGATTTGAAAGTAACAACCATGCAATTATCTGGGGACAGAAATTCTAGGCAAAAAGGATGACTAGAACAAGAATCCAAAGATCTTATGAGCTTGTTATATTTGATGACCTTAAAAATGAAGAGAGTAGCTGTACTGTAGTTAATGAATGTGAAAATGGCAATAATTGAAGTCGAAGAGTTGGGTAGGGGCAAAATTATGCAGAGCATTTTCATCGATAAGAAGTTCAATTTATTCAGATTTCAAAAGGAGACTCTTGAAAGACAAGCAGCGGAGTAACTACCTAATGTTTCCTATTTTACTGAAGATCCTTGAGATTCCGATTACAGAAGTAGCAGTAGTAAACTAGCATTAAGTAGAAAGTACATGCTGCTAAGTATTTTTTATGTATGTCAACACTTAAAAGATCTAGTTATTTTTTCTAATTTGATAGAGGGAAAAAATAAAAGCTGTTATACTGTACTGGAAACTGTCAAAAGACAATCTAACTATATATTTTGAAGTTTTGTAGAGTTTTGTGGTTATTCCTAATGGATTTTCTTTTTAAATGTTAGAGAAAAGCTTGAGTTCACTTAAAAATTATTTCATCCTCAATGCAATGATGGTAGTTACATGTCATGTAAGTTATGATTTGGTTACAGATAATCACTCTGATTATTTGAATAAGCATATATGAGGCATTCAATACTTACAAATCATTGAAGAACTATAAGACCAGGCTGTAGACTTGGCATACTAAAATAAATTTCTAGACATTACCATTAATTTCAAATATTTTAAGTTCTACAATTTATGTTTACTTCTTTTTATGGATTCTAATTTTCTGGTGAAATTTGCTATCTTTTTATCTATCTATTACATTAAAAATTAAAATGAAGGAAGTAAGAACAGAGATTATAAAATGTAAGGTTTCCATTTTAAGTAGGGATGTCTAATAGGACTAGTGAATACAGTAATCATTTTTAAACTGCCAGTTCCAGGATTACAGCATTTGAATCATTAGCCTATGATCAGGAAATTACTGAGCAATTGTTCTAGTCCTATTAGACATCCCTATTGAAAACCTCACATTTTGTAATCTTTATTCCCACTTCATTTTTTAATGTTTTTAAACTGTTATTATTATTCCTAAAGCCTATATAACTCAATGGTTTCTCATCCGAGTATTAACCAGACCCAATCTTTCTTAGCTTCTGAGATCAGGCATGATCAGGCACATTCACTTCCTTCACTTCTAAACTTAAATATTGCATAAGTGAATTAGAAGTCCTGAGAATACATCAGAGTCTGATTTTAAACCTGGCAGTCTTTGAAAGAGTCAGAGATTGACTGAGTCCTATGAAAATGGAAAATCAACTTCAACTCCACAAAACCTTTATTTAAATTAAGGCAGGGCTTCGTAACTTTGACATTATTGGCATTTTGGAGAAAGTAATTTTTTGTCATAGAAGCCTGCCCTGTGCATTTTAGGTTGTTTAGTAGCATCCTGACCTGTACTTACTAGGTGCCAGGAGCATTTTCTTAGTTGTAACAACCAAAAATATCTTGCCAAATGTCTCCTAAAAGGTAAATTTTCTACAATGAGAAACACAGCATTGAGGGGTATTCCTTCTACTGTATCAGTCTTGTAGTGAGATGTGTGAACTTTCCTTGTAAGAGGTAACATAAACTGGAGCCTATACTACTTAAAATTTTTAATAAACAATATCCACAATTTAATAAAAATCAGAAGAAATATCAGAAGAGTGAAAAATATTTTCAAAATAAAGAACAAAAAGATAAATAACTGCAATATAACCAGAGTCTATCCAGAGTATGAAAGTAACAGTAACATAATAACTGCGTTCAAGACAGAAGAAAAAGTATAATAAATAAAAGGATAGCAAGTTTCACCAGAGAATTAGAATCCATAAAAAGAAGCACATGAAGATTGTAGAACAAAAAAAAAATTGAAATTATAAATTCATTAGATGAGTTTAAAATCAGATTAAACATAGGAGAAGACTAAAGAGTGTGCTGGACGTTAAATCAATAAAAATACTAAAATTAAAAATGCAAATAGAAAAAAATGGAAAAATACAAGAAAGAATATTAGAGATATGTGAGATGCAGTAAAAATGTCATATATATGCTTCAATTACATATATATGTAATTATATATATAATTGAAGTCCATTCTCTCATTCGCCTATCCACCTTTATTTATATATATAATTAAAGGTGGATAGGCGAATGAGAGAATGAGAAAGATGAAATATTTGAAGACAGGATTACTAAGAACTTTTAAAACCTGATAAAAGACAAGAAGCCACAGAAAAAGAAACACACTGTGAGCCACAAGCAGAAGAATCAACAAAAAAGCCCTCAACACAAAGACATAGGACCAAAAAAAAAAAAAAAAAAAAAAAAAAAGAAAAAGAATCTTAGAAGCAGCTGGGAGAGACTGTCCATTAGTTTAAAGGGAACAGATAGATTTCTTCATAAAAGAAACATGAAATCCAGAGAAAACTGGAAAAACATCTTTAAATTGTTGAAAGAAGATAATATCAATCTAAAAATCTATCTGAGATAAAGTAAATAATTTAAATAAAGATGAGATAAAGACATCTTATGACAAATGAAAAGGAGAAATTCTGTTGCCTAAGAACTTCTAATAAATAAATTTTAATAGCAGTTCTTCAAATAAAAGAAAAGAATCCTAGAGAAAAATACTAAATTAAAGAAAAAAAAAAAAAGAAGTAGACTGGTAAATAAGGTGGCAATGTAAATAAGTATACAGTGAATATTGACTATACAAACAATAGTATGATATCTTATGGAATATGCTATAGATACATATATAGGCATATATATTTATATATATGCATGACAACAGTTGTGAAAAATGAAAAAAATATAAAAGTGTTCTGTGATTCTGATATAAGAAGACATTTAATAAACCTAATAAAGTGATTAGACTCTAATAAGTCAAGGATTCATGTTGCAACCTGTAAGAAAGTTAACTATATAAAGAATAAAATAATTTATAACAGTTATAGAAGGATTTTTTTTGACAAAAAAAGAAACAAAGATCATTTGCAAGAACAAAGAGAAATTACAGTGCATAAAATGCAATAATAAGATTGTAGTTAGAATGGCAGATATATCACTCTCTACATTAAAAATAGGTGATTCAAAACTTCATCGAAAACTAGGATTTTCAGATTTTTATTTTTGTGGGTGCATACTAGATGTTTATACTTAGGAGGTGCATGAGATATTTTGATTACAGCCATGCAATGTGAAATAATCACATCATGGAGAATAGGGTATCTATTCCTTAAGCATTTATCATTTGAGTTACAAACAATCCAATTATACTCTTTAAGTTATTCAAAAATGTACAACTAAGTTATTATTAACCATAGTCACCCTGTTGTGCTATTAAACAATAGGTCTTCCTCATTCTATTTTTGTACACATTAACCATCCCTACATTCCCCCCACCCCTGACCCCGCTACATTTCCAAATCTCTAGTAAGCATTCTGCTACCCTGTATCTCCATGGATTGTTTTAATTTTTATCTCCCATAAATGACTGAGAATATTAGAAGTTTGTCTTTCTATTCCTGGCTTATTTCACTTAACATAATGACCTCCAGTTCCATCTATGTTTTGGCAAATGATAGGATCTCATTCTCTTTCTTGGCTGAATGGCACTCCATTGTGTATAGGTACCAAATTTTCTTTATTCTTTTGTCTGCTGATAGACACTCAGGTTGCTTCCAAATATTGGCAACTGTGAGTAGTGCTGCAATAAATATGGGAGTGTAGCTATCTTTTGATATACTGATTTTTTCTTTAGGGTATATACCTAGGAGTGGGATTGCTGAATTGTAAGGTAACTGTATTTATAGTTATTTGAGGAACTTCCAAACTGTTCTCCATAGTGGTGGTACTAATTTACATTCCCATCAACAATATTCTCCACGTCCCCATCAGTATTTGTTATTGACTGACTTTTGGATAAAAGCCATTTTAACTTGTAGTTTTGGCTGGCATTTCTCTGATGATCAATGATGTTGAGTATCTTTTCATATACCTGTTTGGCATTTTTATGCCTTCTTTGGAGAAATGTCTATTCAAATGTTTTGCCCGTATTTTGATTGGATTAATAGATTTATTCCTGTAGAGTTGTTTGAGCTCCTTATATATTTTGATTATTAATCCCTTGTCAGATGGGCACTTTTCATATATTTTCTCCTGTTCTCTGGTTCAATATTGATAGGTTATATGTGTCTAGGAATTTATACATTTCATCAAGATTTTCCAATTTATTAGTATATAGTAGCTCACAGCAGCCATTAATGATCCTTTACATTTCTGTAGTATCAGTTATAATGTCTCCTTTTTATCTCTAATTTTAATTATTTGAGTCTTCTCTGTTAATCTGGCTAAAGGTCTGTTGATTTTGTTTATCTTTTCAAAAAACCAACTTTTTGATTCATTCATTTTTTTGTATTGTTTTCTTGATTTCAATTTCATTTATTTCTGCTCTGATCTTTATTATTTTTTTTTTCTTTTACTAATTTTGGTTTTGGTTGTTCTTGCTTCTCTAGTTCTTTAAGATTAACCATTCTGTAATGGTTGCCATTCTAACT